TCAAATGAAGGTTAAATTGTATTTGGGTGTAATGTAATGTTGAAAGTTAGGTCGTTGGTGACAAATAAGGTGTTGTACGACATTGGACACAATTGGACCTTTTCCTGAATTTACCTCCTATCCTTATTCCTTTTATATTGTGTGACTTTCTGTATCATCTGATTGAAAGCCTGTATCTTATTAGGCCTATATATTGTTTCTTTTTTTTATAATTATATATGTTCTGTATGTTTGCCCATCTGGAACTGATAAATCATGTGTTATAATGTAATGTACACATGACGTTGGATATCAATAATGTAGAGTAGCTCAAATTGAGATCTATACCAATTGGAATTTATAAGACTAAATATGATGGCTAAAAAAAAACAGCGTCTACATAAAAGTTGTATCTGTTCTAGACCCGTTGACCGCCGCCGGCGATCACCAGGATTCACTTCCGTATGAAAAACCCCCTCTGGATTTACGACAAAAACATTCCAAATTCTCACTCTCTGAATTCCTTCATCAAGTGTGCCAGTGGAAAATATGTTTTCCACCACAGGTTTAATTATGAAGGCCAAACGAAGTTTACTTGATGCTCTGAATATAAACATGGTCTTATTTATTAATGACCACATCAAGTATTGTCATGACTTGTAATTATCTGCTGGGTTGGTGAAGTTAAATTGTCAGATATTGACAGATCTAGATATACTCAAATAATAGTTGAATATCTTAGAACCTAATTTAGTTATTTTTCATACTGCGCACTCATTTCTTGCATTTTTTTCGTGAATTTTGGTTTGAAGCATAGACATGCACCAAATCGCTCAATCTCATTAATTCAACAAGATCTTATCACTATACATAACTTACAATATGGAACAGATTGCACCAATACTTCTCAAACTATATTTCAACATGTACATAATTTCATTAACTCCAGTAAACGATTTTAATTGTCTCTTTGGATATCTCGTGTGTAGCTTTTTTTTTCTTTTTTTTTTTTTCTTTTTTTTTTTTCTTTTTTTTTTCTTTTTTATTTTTTTTTTTTTACTCTTACTTTTATAATTATATTTACAACTTAATCAATATTTTGTATATCTATAAATTTGTTATTTATTTTTACTTGTTTACTGTACTGTATGTATTTTATGTATATATGTTTTGTTATTTTGTAAACTTTAAAATTCTTGTGAAATTTATTGTATTCATGGAGAAGGGTTATATAGGCGAATGCCTGTTCCCTAATCCCATTCATACTTTTTATGAATAAAATATTGTTTACAAAAAAAAAATGTACGATAAAAGCAAGTTCTCACAAACACATTGTTAAGTATTTGGAAATTAATATTCTTGTCTGTAATTCTAGAATTTTGAATCTCATTTAAGCAAGACTTTCCACTTGTCTTGTAGTTGTATTTAATGATTTGGATTAAAATGTTTAAATTCAGCATTGGCCTTTTTTCGTTGATAAATTCCTTTCCAACAAATTTAGCAATTTCCATTAGACGTTTACGATTCTTGGTTATGGAACCGGTCAGTCTTAGTCGGAGAGAATCATTCATCATCAAGTATTAAGTGGCACTTAGTGCGAAAGGTATTTTTGCTCAAAGCTGCGGTGTCAAGCCAATCACAGCCACCAAAAATGTTGGCTTAGCTGTAGCCAGCTGATACAACCCCTCATCTAAGTAGTATATGTGTTTTTGGATATGACGCATTTCACTTCTGCGCATGCGCAGCTTTTTCATGCGTCATATCCGAAAACACACAACTGTTAAAATGTATTATAACAGACTTCCCAAACTGTTAAAATATATTATAACAGACTCCCCAAACTGTTAAAAATGTATTATAACAGACTCTCCAAACTGTTA